CCACCACACACTGCTAAATTTTTGACTTATTGTTGAGATGAGGTCTTGCCAAGTTGCCCAGGCTGGTTCGAACCTGTGAGCTCAGGCAATCCTCTCACCTCAGCCTCCCAAAGTGCTGGGATTATAGGCGTGAGCCATCGCGCCCAGCTGGAAGCACATTATTTTTCAAGTGCTGAAAGAAAAGAACTGTCAACCTCGAGTTCTAGACCTAGAAAATGTCCCTCAGGATTGATGGGAAAATGAAGACATTCTTAGATGAAGGAAAAGTAAGAGAATTTGTCATCAGTGGATCTACCTTGTAAGAATAGCTAAAGGAAGTTCTCTAAACAGAAAGGAAATGATAAAAGAAGGAATCTTGGAACAGCAAGAAGGAAAGAACAATGGAAAGAGCAAAAATGCAAGTAAAAGGCATTAAAATTGGCAAGTTCAAACTGTTTTGAGCAGTGGAAAGAGGGTCTCCATAAGTGTATGGCATCAAAGGGAGAGTAGTTTGAAAGTGACTGATGTTTAAATATGCAAGAATAGACTGGGCTCGGTGGCTCAGCCTGTAATCCCAGCACTTTGAGAGGCAGAAGCGAGTGGATTGCCTGAGCCCGCAGGTTTGAGACCCGCCTGGACAACTTGGCGAGACCTCATCTCTACAAAAAGTAAAACATAGCTGGGTGTGGTAGCGCATGTCTGTAGTTCTGGCTACTTGGAAGGCTGAGGCAGAAGGATTGCTGGAGCCCAGAAGGTCGAAGCTAGGTGCGTGCCATTGCACTCCATCCTGGGCGAAGGAGTGAGACTCCAACTCAAAAACAAAAAAATGTAAGAATAAATACACAATTTTTTATACGTAAATTCCATGGTTTTTTTGGTCCCCTCTTGTACACAGTTTTTAATCTCTACTGAGGTGCCAAACTGCTTAACAGAGTTAAGATGATGCTGTAATCTGAGAGAACAAAGCAGTAATAAAGATTTTAGTAAAATTAATACCTGTTTATTCCTAATAATTAAATATTCAAAAAATAAAGCACATTTAGGAATCATTTTCTTTCTACAACTTTATAGTTATGAAACTTTTTAGCCTGCACAGTTCTTCACCTTTTTTGTGTCACAGACCCTCAGAAAGTCTGGTGAAGCTAGTGGACCCTTTTATCACAATAGTGTTTTAAAATGGGCCGGGTGAGGTGGTTCATGCCTGTAATCCCAGCACTTGGGGAGGCCGGGGCAGGAGGAGTGCTTAAGGCCAGGAGTTGGAGACCAGCCTAGGCAATGTAGCAAGATCCCCATCTCTACAAAAAAATGTAAAAATTAGCCAGTTGTGGTGGTATGCACCTGTAATTCCAGTTACTTGGGAGGCTGAAATGGGAGGATCACCTGAATCCAGGGGGAGGTCAAGGCTGTGGTGAGCTGTGATGGTGCCACTGCACTCCAGCCTGGGTGACAGAGTAAAATCCCAACTAAAATAAATAAGTAAATAAAATGCATAAACACATAGAATTTCAAAGAAAACCAACTGAATTATAGTTATCAAAATACTTTTAAAATGTGTCTTAGTAGCATGTTCTCTTTATTGACATGCTAAACAACAACATCTAGTGGTGGGTCTAATAATTGCTGCAATTTTGAAATAGCTATGGCTAGAAATGACATTTTGAGATAATTGTAATAATTATTGAGAAATAAAAGTATCTGTGATTTCTGTCAGTGAATAAAATTACAAGTCCTGCTAATACAAATTGGTGTGGTACCTATATTGATAGTCAAAAGAAATGTTACAATTCAATTAGAAGTTGAAATGAAAGATGAATCCCTGCTTCTGCTCACAGAGCACAAATGAAGAACTCCAGGATCCCAGGTTTCCCTGAAGCATCAGCAGTGCTTATCTCTGAGTGGTAGACAGATGGGTAGTTGAAATTGCTCTTATTTTCTGTATTTTTCAAGGTTTCCACAAAAAGCAAATATCAATTTTATAATTATAAAAGTCAGGAGGCCGAGCTCAGTGGTTCAGCCCGTAATGCCAACACTTTGGGAGGCCAAGGTGAGCGGATTGCTTGAGCCCGTGGGTTTGAGACCAGCTCAGGCAAGTTGGAGAGAGCTGTCTCTACAATAAATCAAAAATTAGCTGGGTGTGGTAGCGTACACCTGTAGTTCCAGTTACTTGGAAGGTTGAGGCGGAAGGATCGCCGGAGCCCAGGAGGTTGGCACTGGGGTGGCCTTGAGCATGCCACTGCACCCCAGCCTGGGCGACAGAGTGAGACTCCAACTCAAAAAAAAAAAAAAAAAAAAAAAGACAGGAAATGATATATACAAAAGATATATCAATCAGTCAAAGGTCAAATTTAGGGCACAGAAATAAAATTGGAGAAATAAAGCACTGCTTGAAGAAAAAATCCTTTAGGAAAATTAAAAAAGGGAAACAAAATTCGGAATGCAGATGAAGAAACTGAAATGGGCTTCATCAGAGAGGCCCAAAGCTGGTGACCTTATGGCATTTATCCTTTTACCAAAGGGATCAACTCTTCTATTTATTTATTTAGAGACAGGGTCTCACTCTGTTGCCCAGGCTGAAGTGCAGTGGCACGATTCTGGCTCACAGGCCTCCACCTCCTGGGCTCAGGTGATCCTCTCGCCTCAGCCTCCCAAGTATCGTGCCACTACGGGGTATGCCACTACATCTGGCTAATTTTTGCATTTTTTTGTAGAGACGAGATCTCATTATGTTGCCCCGGCCTGTCTCTAACTTCTGGGCTCAAGCAATCCTCCTGCCTTGGCCTCCCAAAGTGTTGGGATTACAGGTGTAAGCCACTGACCCAGGCTGAGATCAACTTTTTAAAAACATGACCCTGCTGCAAGGCTGAAAACCACAGCTGTTTTGCCAGGCCACACAGTCACCCATGGACCATATGAGAAGTAAAAAGTAAACCCACAGGCCGCTGTTACTCATGAATTTAGGGATTTACTGTCCATTCCTTCTGCATCTCTTATTCATGCTTACTTCCCAAGGCAGAAAAATGAGTCCTGACTGGGAATTAAGTGCTCCAAGCAGTGGTTTGGGAGAGAGAACTCCCAGATAGTGAGACCAGGCCCTTCAAGAGCCTCAACTTCCTACTTCTTTCCTCACTGGCAGCCTCTCTGGCCTTTCGATTCTTTCTTTCTTTTTTTTTAGAATAACAAAAAATATTTTACTAAAACATAAGATTTACAGAAGTCTCCAGACAAGCCATACAAAATGGTCACAAGCTTTTTGAAGGGGGGAATCTACACTTGACAACAAAGTCACAATGTCATTAGTGAGGGCTGTGATGTTTGTTTAATGTTCCCATTTTGGTTCAAACAATCAAGCTTGTCCATCTAGAGCGTCTAAATAAAGTTAGACTTGGCTAGTGAGCATATTCTAAAGAATTGGTTAGTTGCTTTCAACCAATGCAATTAGATCACCATAAAAAGGGGGAAAGGAGCCCATAAAATTAAAATAAAACTACCTCCCCCCTCAAAGAAATAAAGAAAA